AGGTAGAAATGGCGGAAGCCATAGCTACAAGTATGGTAGGTTAATATACATGAGGATGAAAATAAATACATACTATAAATAAACTAAGAGAAAACACTTGCGTGAAACTATAAACACAAGGATGACAAAAATACATACTAAAAATAAACTAGGGAAAGAAATCTTGGGGGAACAAATGAGTATAATCCACTAATACGAAGCCCCCGATGTTCATAGCACAATCTCTAAACAATGTTCCCGTCAGTTTCTGTTTTCGCTAAGGGTAAACCAGTACTGATTTTTTTTCTTAGCTAATTTTTAACTTTCAGAAAAATTTATTATCTATATAAAAGGTCACAATATTTCTTTTTAGATTCATGTGGTAAATATGGTACTGTACCATAATGTTTCCTGATGTGTAATTTACTTTACTGTTAATGGACATGAGCATTCAGTGGTGTGTTCATCAGTCATTGGTGTGTTGGAAGTGCAAATAGATGAACTGGCTTTATAATTATATATACCTCTGGTATATAATAATTGTTTTTTTTATGCTCTTCCAATAGATCAACACCATATTTACTCTATTAGTGCATGTACTTATGTAAACAAAATAAGTGTGTATATGCTCAAAATATGCAATGGATGTTGTATGTACTTCTAATAGAACAAGTATAGTATGACAATTATCACAAAACAAAATTAAAATTATGCATTTATGATATTTAATTTTGATACCTGTTTTTACTCAGATCATTGCCAGAGTATTATGATGTTGTCACCAATCCTATTGATCTGCTAAAGATTCAGCAAAAATTGAAAATGGATGAGTATGAAACGATTGATCAGCTGTCAGCAGATATAGAACTCATGGTCAACAATACTAAAGCTTATTACACGGTATGTGCATTGAGGCAAATGTTCATTTGCAGTTGAATCTGTGTAACTGACCATCTTTGTTTAAAGCTGAATATAGTGATCACCTTTAGTTCCAATACAATTTACATATAAAATAACCTGTAAATAAAGGTCACTTTTCTAATCATAAATGTACCCTTTTTACATTGCTTTTGCCTAATCACCCTGCAGATCTAGACAGATCAGATCAATTGCAGTTGATTTTTCGAGTAAATTTCCAAATTACTATTTATATTTGTTTGTAAAATAAATTTAAATTTGTTAAATTTTATAACATATCTGCAGAAAGAAAATCAAGAGTATTTAGATGCCTGTGATCTGTGGGATCTTTACATTGAAACCAAAAATGAAATTCTTGAAGAGAATGAAGATTTTGGTGATGATCCTTTAGAGAAAGATGAAGAAAGTCCACCCAGCGAACCAGAGAAACTAGTTTTTCCTGAAGTAGGAGACAGTGATGAAAGCGAAAAGGTCAGCTTAATAGTGATAGGTCATACTAAGACACTGGAAATTCATTTTGATTGACAATTTTGATAAATTTTCACTCAAAATTAACAACATATTGTTGAATTCAGTTATGTGGGTTATGTATTATGAAGTACCAGTATATGTTTTATTTTTTCATTTACTTTTCAACATCTCTTTTTATATTATTGTATAATCTATGCATGGTGCATGTGTCATTTGTATGAGAGCTCCAAATACAAACTATACCTTCTTTGTTTTTTCTGCAAAAATGTGTGTATGATTACAATTTTTGTAAATACAAGAGCACACTGCAGTTGTATTCAAACATTCATTTCTCAGGAGAACCAGTTAAAATCTAATGTCTCCTCATTGTGTGATCTTGTAACCGTTCACATTTTTGCACTATATTGTATTCCTCCTCTAGTAGATATCCTGATTTCCATGCTGGTAGCACTAGAGAATAGCATGAATGTCGATACTCCTGCCTGCCTGCCTGCCTGCCTGCCTGCCTGCCTGCCTGCCTGCCTGCCTGCCTGCCTGCCTGCCTGCCTGCCTGCCTGCCTGCCTGTATATCTGTCTGTCTTATTTATTGTGGTTATAGATCCTATAGCTTCATGAAATAGTACCCAGTAAATGTGTGCCTGTTGTCTTTGCTCTGTAGTACTAAACATGTGGTTTCGTTCTTTTCTCTGTAGTACTAAACATGTCACTAAACATGTGGTTATGTTCTTTTCTCTGGTACTCAGTAAATGTGTGGCTGTTGTCCTCTCTTAATAGTACATGTATTCAGTAAATGTGGGCTATTTTCCTTTCTTGATAGTAAATTTGTGGCTGTGTTCTTGGTATGTGTCATGTCGAATGCTAACTGTTTTTTTCCCAACTCTCAGTCCTCTGCTTGTAGCACTGCTGCAGCTACTGCTTCCACTGATTCTGCTCATGTTTCCCATGGAACTATTGAAGCAGTGGGTGAATCGCATGCAATGGAAACCACGCAATCTTTGGAAAGTACTGTGCATAGGTTTACAGCAGTACAGGAGTTTGATAAGTCTACTGATGACAGAAGAAAGGAAACTAGAGATAAAACTTTGATGGTGGAAGATGCATCAAGCCATCCTGAACATGGCGAGATGGGACAAGAGACTCCCAAGGGGGAATGCAAAGGAAAAGAAGAGAAAAAAGAAGTAGAGCTCACAATGGCAAAACTAGAGCAAAAACAGGACGATAAGCTAGAGATACCTTATAAACAAGAGATTCTCGTGAAGGAGACTCCCACAGAAAAAGCCCAAAGTGATCAGAGTAGTGTACCTGACACTAAAATGTCTGGAGAGCAGAGCTCTGGTGTTATTAAAGAGAAATCTATTGTAAAGGTATTACTTATCATGCATGTATTGGACTAGAAAACAAGAATTTAGAACCTAGTATGATGACAGACCAGAAGAAAGAACCCACTGTAAATGTACTAATGATCTGCATGCTTATTGCTACTACTGTAGGAATTACCACCTATTCCTCCACCATGTGCTTTCATCATTCATATCTTTTTCTTTAGGATTATGTGTGTATGTGTGGTGTTGTTGTATATTTTTCCTTATGGCATTCTGCTTTACTTTTCATTTGTAATGATGCTCAGTGTAGCCTTCTATCCTTTTTCTCTGTCCTGTTGCATGATTCTGACTACTACCCCAGTACTTGTTTCATGTAGTATCCCATCAAAGATAAAACTGTGTTGAATCAGATATTCCATACACGTATATAATGGTATGCAAACTGTATAGCTAAACCTATGTACAGTAATGGGTTCATAATTCTATTCTAGGAGTCTGTTATAGCACATGTAAGTAACACATCAAGGTACTTCTTGGATTGTGCCTTTAGCTGTCATAACAATCTCCCATTATCAATTGTAATCAGGTATTTGCATCTAACATAATTATCACCTATCACTTGTCTCTTGAAAAGTTGTGTATTATAAAATAATATATGTATGTTCTAAATAGGACACTTTCAAATTTCTACAATTATTACTGGTAAGTCGCATAAAATTAGTTGTACAACCTGTGCGAAGTTGTCAATAAAGCCTTCAATTTGAACAGTGTGACATTTTACCATTTACCATTTGTAAGTAAACCAGAAAAAAAAAGAATTTCCTCCATGGTGTATGAGCAAACTTTATTAATGCTTTCTGAAATGTATCCTGTATATATATATATATATATATATCATACTGTTTATGCATTTGTATGTCCAGTATATAGACACTAAGGCCTTGAAATGCATTAAAAATCATAACCATTTGGCATTCAAGGAAAGGTATTAGGTGATGAATAATTTTATTTACAACAGTCACAATCATGCCTGTCACAAAACATCACATTTATTTATGTACAAAGAAGATTCTTTGATAATACTACTAGTATATGTTTGTATTCCAATTTAATATAAATTTGCAAATTTGTGACAGGATTCTGAGTCGAGCAGTGGACTCCAGCGTGAAGATGTTACTAGTTTTAGCTTGGATAGCAATGACTCTGATTATGCCATGGACAACCCAGACAGTCTGTATGAACAACTGTTCACAGCCATCATGACACACAAAGACAGTACTGGTAGATACACAAGTTTACTATTTCGAAAGTTACCTGCTCGGGCTTCATATCCTGAGTACTATGACTTCATAAACCATCCTATTGATCTGAAAACGATTGCTAAGAAAATCAAGGTTAGTCTGAAACTAGTAGAATGCATGTTATTAATGTTAATCTGTTGAATGAATGCAATATTTTGCTTAAATATCAATTTACCAACATTGTGACCAGATCTGCTATTGGCTTTCAAAATCTGTCTTCCTGAAACGTGTTTCTGCCAAGATTGAATATAATTAATTGTTGACAAGGAATATAGTAGCTGGATTTTTTAATTATATTCAGTGATGCCTTGATTTGAGGAAACCAATAACACAAATTTGAATAGCTTTGAAAAATACTGTAAAACATGTCTTTTTATTTAGCCTGTTATTTTTAGCTACCGGTAACTCAAAATGTTGCTAATTTAAAAGAAAGTTTCTCATGATGATATTGTTGGCACTTTAGCTAAATAAAGATTCTTCTAATTCTTGTTTTCTGCTAATTCTTGCTTTGAGTCAAATTCACTATTGATGGCATGATGCTACTTCAACATGTTTTACAGTAAATCAATAAATACCCTTGTATTGGAAAAAAATGTAAAAATGTAATAATTTTTTGAGCTTACATGTATTTCAAGGATACCACAATGTAATATAGACAGTTCAGAAATAGTACTGCCTGAGTGATTGCATTGCTTTATCCAACTGCCTTTTCTAAGTCCAGTGCTTTGCAAGGTACCGGTAGTCTAAATTGGTGTTTGTTTGTTTAGGTGTAATTTTTGGAAATTGTTTCTTGGTATTTTTATTTCATTAAGATAGAAAGCATAGTCTAGATGATACTTATCATAATTTGGAGATATTACACTAATAATAGGTAATACCATTTTTGTTATAATAATGATTTCATTTTGTTTCAGAATGATGAATATAGTACACTACAAGATATGGAAAAAGATCTAATGTTGATGGTGAAAAACGCTAAAACATTCAATGAGCCTGGTTCTAATGTTTATAAGGATGCATGTACGCTGAAAAAAATAATAAATATAAAAAAGAATGAGTTTGATAGAATTGTCAAAGATGATCCACCACTTCCTAAAATCAGCGAAAGGATCAAGTAAGTGTGTGTGTATAAGTTATTACGAGAGTACTAATAGGCAAGAAGGCTATACAGTATTCTTATTGACCGCCCCATGCTTAATTTCGGTCATCTCATGATAACATTATTATCTTTTCCTGCGTGTAGTCATAATGGGAGATAACACCCCAAATGCAAGTAAAAACAAGATTTGATCCTGCATGAATATATGTATTCCAGTCGTGATATTTGTATTTCTATAATTCACCATGTTGTTGCTGTGCAAATGAAAATGTTTGAATGTGACATAAATATGTGAATGTAATATCTTTTCTACGTATGGCTATTGTAAATGATATTAAACCTAAGAGTGATTGAAAATTAATAGGTTGACAATATATTCTTAGAAACTTCAGGGTGTTGTTCTTTATTTATGCCCTAAATCAGTGAATTTATTTGTGTATAGGGCACGTCAGAATTCCGGACAAAATACATTATCTGCAATCACGGCAGCGTTACAGATCTCATCTGATGAGGAAGAAGAGTTCCATCCCAAGGTAACGGAATGGGAAGATGGCGATGAATCGGGAGCAGATGGCTTTCTTATGGATGTTGGAGATCCATTACATGTGTTATTTGATACAGTTGTTAATCATAGAAATGCTATGGGACAACTCGTATGTGAGCCATTCATGAGATTACCTAATAGTAGAGCATACCCAGACTATTACAAAGAAATTGAACAACCGCTAGCATTGAGTAAGATTAGAGCTAAACTTAAGGTTTGTATCCTGTGATTATATTTGTTAAAATATGTGCTATGTTATCCAAGTTGAGTTAGTGTTCTAAAGGTCTATGTGCATAAATTAATATTATTTTATATTAATATTTATTAAAATAGCATAGAGTAAGATTAGAGCTAAACTTAATTGTATCCTGTGATTATATTTGTTAAGATATGTGCTATGTTTTCCAAGTTGAGTTAGTGTTCTAAAGGTCAATGTGCATAAATTAATATTATTTTATATTAATATTTATTAGCTCCGCTGTCGACTTTGTCGAGCGGAGCTTATCATATGAGTGATTGTCCTCCGTCGTCGTCGTCCGTCGTCGTCGTCCGTCGTCCGTGTCAATGTTTTACTTTTTCGACTTCTTCTTGAAAACTACAAGCCTAAATGCTTTGATACTTG